GGGGGGGGGGGGGGGGGGGGGGGGGGGGGGGGGGGGGGGGGGGGGGGGGGGGGGGGGGGGGGGGGGGGGGGGGGGGGGGGGGGGGGGGGGGGGGGGGGGGGGGGGGGGGGGGGGGGGGGGGGGGGGGGGGGGGGGGGGGGGGGGGGGGGGGGGGGGGGGGGGGGGGGGGGGGGGGGGGGGGGGGGGGGGGGGGGGGGGGGGGGGGGGGGGGGGGGGGGGGGGGGGGGGGGGGGGGGGGGGGGGGGGGGGGGGGGGGGGGGGGGGGGGGGGGGGGGGGGGGGGGGGGGGGGGGGGGGGGGGGGGGGGGGGGGGGGGGGGGGGGGGGGGGGGGGGGGGGGGGGGGGGGGGGGGGGGGGGGGGGGGGGGGGGGGGGGGGGGGGGGGGGGGGGGGGGGGGGGGGGGGGGGGGGGGGGGGGGGGGGGGGGGGGGGGGGGGGGGGGGGGGGGGGGGGGGGGGGGGGGGGGGGGGGGGGGGGGGGGGGGGGGGGGGGGGGGGGGGGGGGGGGGGGGGGGGGGGGGGGGGGGGGGGGGGGGGGGGGGGGGGGGGGGGGGGGGGGGGGGGGGGGGGGGGGGGGGGGGGGGGGGGGGGGGGGGGGGGGGGGGGGGGGGGGGGGGGGGGGGGGGGGGGGGGGGGGGGGGGGGGGGGGGGGGGGGGGGGGGGGGGGGGGGGGGGGGGGGGGGGGGGGGGGGGGGGGGGGGGGGGGGGGGGGGGGGGGGGGGGGGGGGGGGGGGGGGGGGGGGGGGGGGGGGGGGGGGGGGGGGGGGGGGGGGGGGGGGGGGGGGGGGGGGGGGGGGGGGGGGGGGGGGGGGGGGGGGGGGGGGGGGGGGGGGGGGGGGGGGGGGGGGGGGGGGGGGGGGGGGGGGGGGGGGGGGGGGGGGGGGGGGGGGGGGGGGGGGGGGGGGGGGGGGGGGGGGGGGGGGGGGGGGGGGGGGGGGGGGGGGGGGGGGGGGGGGGGGGGGGGGGGGGGGGGGGGGGGGGGGGGGGGGGGGGGGGGGGGGGGGGGGGGGGGGGGGGGGGGGGGGGGGGGGGGGGGGGGGGGGGGGGGGGGGGGGGGGGGGGGGGGGGGGGGGGGGGGGGGGGGGGGGGGGGGGGGGGGGGGGGGGGGGGGGGGGGGGGGGGGGGGGGGGGGGGGGGGGGGGGGGGGGGGGGGGGGGGGGGGGGGGGGGGGGGGGGGGGGTGGGGGGGGGGGGGGGGGGGGGGGGGGGGGGGGGGGGGGGGGGGGGGGGGGGGGGGGGGGGGGGGGGGGGGGGGGGGGGGGGGGGGGGGGGGGGGGGGGGGGGGGGGGGGGGGGGGGGGGGGGGGGGGGGGGGGGGGGGGGGGGGGGGGGGGGGGGGGGGGGGGGGGGGGGGGGGGGGGGGGGGGGGGGGGGGGGGGGGGGGGGGGGGGGGGGGGGGGGGGGGGGGGGGGGGGGGGGGGGGGGGGGGGGGGGGGGGGGGGGGGGGGGGGGGGGGGGGGGGGGGGGGGGGGGGGGGGGGGGGGGGGGGGGGGGGGGGGGGGGGGGGGGGGGGGGGGGGGGGGGGGGGGGGGGGGGGGGGGGGGGGGGGGGGGGGGGGGGGGGGGGGGGGGGGGGGGGGGGGGGGGGGGGGGGGGGGGGGGGGGGGGGGGGGGGGGGGGGGGGGGGGGGGGGGGGGGGGGGGGGGGGGGGGGGGGGGGGGGGGGGGGGGGGGGGGGGGGGGGGGGGGGGGGGGGGGGGGGGGGGGGGGGGGGGGGGGGGGGGGGGGGGGGGGGGGGGGGGGGGGGGGGGGGGGGGGGGGGGGGGGGGGGGGGGGGGGGGGGGGGGGGGGGGGGGGGGGGGGGGGGGGGGGGGGGGGGGGGGGGGGGGGGGGGGGGGGGGGGGGGGGGGGGGGGGGGGGGGGGGGGGGGGGGGGGGGGGGGGGGGGGGGGGGGGGGGGGGGGGGGGGGGGGGGGGGGGGGGGGGGGGGGGGGGGGGGGGGGGGGGGGGGGGGGGGGGGGGGGGGGGGGGGGGGGGGGGGGGGGGGGGGGGGGGGGGGGGGGGGGGGGGGGGGGGGGGGGGGGGGGGGGGGGGGGGGGGGGGGGGGGGGGGGGGGGGGGGGGGGGGGGGGGGGGGGGGGGGGGGGGGGGGGGGGGGGGGGGGGGGGGGGGGGGGGGGGGGGGGGGGGGGGGGGGGGGGGGGGGGGGGGGGGGGGGGGGGGGGGGGGGGGGGGGGGGGGGGGGGGGGGGGGGGGGGGGGGGGGGGGGGGGGGGGGGGGGGGGGGGGGGGGGGGGGGGGGGGGGGGGGGGGGGGGGGGGGGGGGGGGGGGGGGGGGGGGGGGGGGGGGGGGGGGGGGGGGGGGGGGGGGGGGGGGGGGGGGGGGGGGGGGGGGGGGGGGGGGGGGGGGGGGGGGGGGGGGGGGGGGGGGGGGGGGGGGGGGGGGGGGGGGGGGGGGGGGGGGGGGGGGGGGGGGGGGGGGGGGGGGGGGGGGGGGGGGGGGGGGGGGGGGGGGGGGGGGGGGGGGGGGGGGGGGGGGGGGGGGGGGGGGGGGGGGGGGGGGGGGGGGGGGGGGGGGGGGGGGGGGGGGGGGGGGGGGGGGGGGGGGGGGGGGGGGGGGGGGGGGGGGGGGGGGGGGGGGGGGGGGGGGGGGGGGGGGGGGGGGGGGGGGGGGGGGGGGGGGGGGGGGGGGGGGGGGGGGGGGGGGGGGGGGGGGGGGGGGGGGGGGGGGGGGGGGGGGGGGGGGGGGGGGGGGGGGGGGGGGGGGGGGGGGGGGGGGGGGGGGGGGGGGGGGGGGGGGGGGGGGGGGGGGGGGGGGGGGGGGGGGGGGGGGGGGGGGGGGGGGGGGGGGGGGGGGGGGGGGGGGGGGGGGGGGGGGGGTGGGGGTGGGGTGGGGGGGGGGGGGGGGGGGGGCACTGTAACTTGGAAATATGTAGAGATGTTATGGGAACTAACTTCTTTTTAGGTTGTTGAGGTGACGGTTGATTAAGGCATCAGCCTCCGCAAGCTGGGGTGGAAGCGTGGTGTTTTCCCCCTCCATGTGAATCTCAACGCGCAGGACAGTCAAGTTTATCTCACATTGTTGCTGCAAGTGCCTTCTTCGCTGCCAGAAAACGTTTTTTCCTCGTCTCAGCCAGTTCCTTCGTTACAGTCAGGGATATCGAAGGCCAATTCCCTTCCCTGTAACCCCTCGCTTCACCGCAGCCCCTCTCAGCACCTTCTCCCGGTCGGACTGCCTCAAAAGCGTTCAGAAACAGCATGGGGAGGCTGCCCCTCTTCGGCTCCGGGGGGACTGAGACTCTGCACTCGCTCAATCTCAAATTCCGCTGCGGGACAATGCCCAGTCCTTCGCTCAGAACTTTTGTAACCCACATCTCAAGCGGACAACATCAGTTCCCGTAGGTTTCTTTGAGGCCAACTAAACGTACATTGTTTCTTTTTGCTTGTGGTTTTCTAGCGCCTGTACACGATCCCCACAGCGCGCTCACCTCTTCCCCGCAATGTTGCTTGTCGGTTTCAAGGCCCCCCATTTTGTCTTCCATCTGAGAGATTCCGTAGCTCCGCGTCTCCCTTCGTGCTTGAAAAACCACGGAGACAACCTCATTGATAGACATCAACATCCGAACCCACTACTGTCAGTTTTGCTCTCAGTTCGTGATTTCAGACAAAAACTTTTCAAGGGTTACGTTTTCCCCTAAAGCCTCCTCTCGCTCTTCATTAGCAGCTAGCGTTAGCATGGTTCTCGTGGACCATACCGTCGTCCCGGGTGTCCTTAAAATCTTCGAGTGGTCATTACTCGGTCAAACGTAGTGAAACGTTCACAGACAATATCAGTTTAGTAAATCATCCATGGGAACGTGATTTACCTCACATAAACATCAAAATTATTGGTGGTGGCGGGAGCTCCTCTAACAAAGCTGCCATCCCTGCTCGCGTACCACGTGACGCAGGCATATGACTAATTGACAAAAAGGAACTACTCCTGCTATTCAGTACATATAAACATATCTCTCGAATTTGACTTCTTTTTCATATCACCAGGTTTGGATGTTCTAAAATATACAAATGCGTGGTATGAAGTATATCCTACTGTCTCCTATCACGCTCCTACATCACTAACTAACAAATGCAAAGATGACACCCTCACCTTAAGATTTAATTCAAACTAGCTGCTTTCAGACCCGAGCTTTGATTCTCATCCACACCAACAACAACGAGAGGAGGAAAGAGAGAGATCAAAGCTCGGTCTTGAAAGCCAGCTATTGGAATTTAAATCTTAAAGTAGGGTGCATCTTTGGGGCATTTGTATATTATGTGAGAAGGAGAGTGATCGTACAGTAGTATACTGTCAAGACCAGCATTTGTATATTTTAGACAACCAACCCTGGATATTACAAAGAAGTCAATTCGAGAGTATGTTTTATATGTCTAGAATACAGGAGTAAGTCCTTATTGTCAATATTCATTATGCCTGGAGTCACGTGGGTAAAACCCGGAGCAGGATGCAGCATGTAGAGGAGCACCCGCCACCCACCAATAATTTGATGTTTAAAGTGAGTAAATCACGGTTCTTTTCCTTGGGACTGATTACTAACTGGATATATTGTTCTGATGAACGTTTCACGTTGACGTTGTGACCGAGAATGAACCACTCGAAATATTTCTAAGGACACAGGGGACGACGCGTATGTCCAACGAGAAACATGCTAACGCTAGCTGCTAATGAAGAGCACCAGGAGGAGACTTTCGGGGGAAAAGTAACCCTTGTAACAGTTTTTCTGAAATCAAACGATATGACGCAAAACTGACAGAGATGGGTACGGATGTTGTGTCTATCAAAGAGGTTGTCAGGGGTTACAAGCACGAATGGGGAGAACGGAGGCTTACGAATCTCTCAGATTGAAAGACAAAATGGGGGCCTTGAAACCGACAGCAAACATTTGCGGGGAGAAGTGAGCGCGCTGTGTGATCGTGTACAACGCTTGAAAACCACAGCAAAAGAAACAATGTAACGTTTAGTTTGCCTCTAAAAGAAACCTACGGGACTAGATTGGTACGATTGAGATGTGTGTTAAAAAAGTTCTACGAATGACAGTGCATTGTCCCCGAAGCGGAATTTGAGATTGAGCGACGGCACAGAGTTCCTCAGCTCCGTGCCGCACGAGGCAGCCTTCCCCATGCGTTCTGATCCGCTTTTTGAGGCAGTCCGCCCGGGAGAAGGTGGCTGAAGCGGCTGCGGTGAAGCGAGGGTTACATGGGAAGGGATAGGCTTTCGATATTCCCCTGACGTAACGAAGAACTGCTGAAAGAGGAAAACTATCTGGCAGCCGAAGAAGGGCACTGCATCTAACACAATGTGAGATAACTCTGGCCTTTCTGCGACGTTGATATTCACATGGAGGGGGAAAAACCAACGGCATCACACAAGCGAGGAGCTGAACGTTACATCTAACCGTCACAGCAACACTAATACAAGAGGTACGGACAATATCAGCGATACTGTTGTACAAGGACAGTGAGTTAAATACTTTATTTTTTTTCGTGGTGAGTGGGGGGGCTGACACGGGCTGTCGCATAGCAACGAACCATCGGGGGTATCAAATGGGGGGGGGGGGAGGGGGGGGGGGGGGGGGGGGGGGGGGGGGGGGGGGGGGGGGGGTGTCTGCTTCACATTCACCCTAAGAATCTTTCACTAAATTCAAAAAAGATTCATTTACTTAATATTTGTCCCTCTGTGCCCATGGGTCATTTTTAATCCAGGCCAAACGAATAATTGCATTTAAATGGAAAGACAAAGAAAGACCTGTTTGTGAGCAATGGAAAAGAGAGCTGGCAACAACATTAGCTCATGAAAGAATATCATTTGTCCTTAAAGGGAAAGCGTGTGAATTTGATGAGATATGGCAATCCTTTGTTAGTTAACTAAATTGAATATTAATATTATTAGTTCTGATTACATTTTGAATTCCTTTTTTTTTTTTTTTATTTATTTATTTATTTATTATTTTTTTTTTTTTTATTTTTTTTTATTTATTTATTTATTTATTTTATTTTTTTGTGTGTGTGTGTTCTCTCTTGCGGTAATCTCCATGGGGTTTATGTTTGTCTGCTAATGTGTTTGTTTGTTAATAATTGAAAAAGCATAAATAAATGATTAAAACAAAAAAAATACATATATTTATATACATCATATACACATAATGTCATTTTACTGTATTTATTATCGTCTTTATCAATAATGCGCACTCTTCAGCCGGTTATTGCAATCGCAGCTGTAGTTTCAACTGTGGGAGAACAAGGAAACGCAGAGGAGGGAGAGATCTCACTCTCTGACGATCTTTGGCAGTCCCCGTGTGTTTGTATCTCACAGCTGTTTGTACCTCACGGGTCACGCTTTGGACACGGACTTTCAGACAAACGTAGTTTATCCTCTGTGCATCGCACAGACAAATCAAAACTAGTTTCGGAAAGCCCTGAATACGTACTTCACAGAGGAAAAAAAAGTAAGTTGCTACGTTTTACCGTTCGCGAGTGAATTGATCATTTGTAAAACATGTGCGCGTGCATCGGCGCCGATGCACGCGGGCATATAGGGTTTGCTGGGGCACCAAACTTTATATAATTTGCAAAAACTATTTTGAAAATGTGTCAAAAGTTGTTTTCCTCGAGCGGTAATTTTCAACGTGTTTTGTTATTGTCAGTACATTTGAAAGAATTTGCTCAAAAAAGCTATATCTTGATAATACATTTTTCATCTGCTTTTCTACTATGATAATAATAATAAAAAAAAAAACATCTTATATTTTTCACATGTGCAAGAAAGAGCCTTGTGAGTTATTATTTTACTCGCTGAGAGTGAGGGTGGTCTCTTTATCATGTTTCTGTCTGAAAACGCTGATCTATAGAGGCTAAAAATACATATTTGAGAGTGAGGAACTACTTACTTGGATTTCACTGCGTAGTTCTATTCTTTGTGGTTTGAGTTTTAATTGAGTTCCTGTTTTAAAAATGAAAAACAAAGCACCTTATAATTATAAAAGTGTCCGTTGATGGAGAAGCGGTGCTGTCGCTCTTTCTCCCGTTGGGCCGCAGACTTCCCCTTCCTCCTCATCTTCACCAATGACGCGTCACTCATGCAGCGGAACAGGTTTGACTCCGCCTCCTGCTCGCTGTGCTTTTGTCGCTGAGGACGAAGAGTGGTCGTTTCATACGGGACTGGGGCTGGAACCACAATTGACATACAGTCCAATAACAGGTTTAAAAAAAATAATAGCAATATATCAGTAGTCAGTTGTGGACCACATTGAAATGTACTTAAAATCACATTCATTCTTTAATTCTTCATTCATTTCTGTCGTTTTTTATAATTCACAATCATATGTGGTTTCCAAAGACACAAGAGAACTAATACTATCATTTTTTAACAAAATAGGAAACTTTTTTCACAAAGGCACCAAGCTCACCGATCATTCTGTGGCTTCCAGTTTGTAATAACATGTTTTGCGTTCTCTCGGGCCGCAGTAACACAAGGAAGTGACATCATGCTAGAGACGGACATTGCAAATTAGCCTTGGCTATAAATGTTGTAGTGTTTTCACTTGTTGTTTGGGTACACTTGTCCCTATCAAAAAAAATCAATAATTAAAATAAAAAATAAAAATAAAATGAATAAATGTTACAGAAACAAATAATGAAATAACAATACACAAAATTATTGAAGCCAGACTTTGACTGACCCAATAATACAAAAATATACAATAGACACAATTCTAATGTACACATTTGGAACAAAAACAGAAAACCATAGCGTTTAGATTATCATGGCAGCCGGCCATTAGAGATGATCCGAACCTCGCCCATGGTAACTACCAAGCAACCATCAGCCCATCACTGTCATGGTGTGGATAATTTGTTAGTTATATTTTGGCATTAGTTCTGTGTTGTTTCTTTTTAGTTTGACTTCCTGTCCTCTGCCCCGCCCCAATGTGTTTCACCTGTGACTGTCCCTGTCTGCATGTGCCCTGTCCTCATCCCAATTGGTTGCTGGTTCATTATATTGTCTCTGTCTGTGTTCCTGTGTTTAGTTTGGATTTTTGGGGTTTGTTTTTCTCCTGGTATTCTTTTGGTAATCTTGCTTTTTTTGGTCCTCCTTTATTTTATTCCGTGACAATCAGGGGCTGAGACTGCAATGTTCCTTCATGGACTATTCACTTGCTGAACCCAAATTCAGGGTTCGAAGGCCCGTGAGCGGTTGGATGACGGGTTCATGTTTGCATTTTTAAAGCCAATATCGAAATAACACACATAGATCATGTAGAGCGGTAAATCACACTTAATGTAATCTTAATGTTTGTTTTTAATGCCCTGTGGGATTATAATTGTATTCTATAATGTTGATGTAGATTTTAATGTTTATGATTTATGCTTGATCTGACCAAGCTAGCAGGTTAGCCTGGTCCGTCCTGTCTATAGACTGACATTTACTCACTGCGGGATGGATATGTGTTACAGTATCTTATCTAATAGGACACAGAGGTCTTTACAACCTTTGAGGGCATATATGTTTTAGTTGTAGATTTTAAAAAGACTTGGATGGAATTGGCAAGAGAATTCACATGAAGTCTTTGGTTGTGATAATTGTGGCACAATTATTTTTTAAGGTTAAACTTGTCAAACAGAACTGACCGGGTGGCGTTGCGTTGCTGATGACAGTTTCTTGCGTCTCGTCGATCTGGTGCAGGTCTGAATACTCTCCCCACCGCGTCATACCTCTGGATGTGAAAAAAAAAACATCTCTATAGAATCTTGAGAAGAAGCAAGTAACCAAGTGTTTTCTCACAACGTATTACTTGTATCTCCTTTTTTGGCAAACAGACGTATCCTTTTTAGTCTTTCCAACTGCACAAGCACTGTGTACGGGCATGTGTAGGGTGCCTTCTTCATTTGCACCACATCAGAACTTTGGACAATGTACGAATTTGTTGTTTATTGTGTAAATACTGTTTTTAGCATCGATATTTCACTGATAAGTTGATTTGTATCTAGAAAGAAGCCTTCGTAGACAAGGAGAACATGCAAACTCCACACACAAAGGCCCTGGAGATGGAATTGAACCCAGGACCTTGTAACACAAGCGCTAACCACTGTGCTATGGTGTATGCGTAAGGTCTACATTATTTTTATTTTCTTGTTGTTTTATACATTTAAACATTTTCTGCCAATTTGAAACTCTCAGATATTGCCCACCATTTGTGAAATAAAAAAAATAATGAATGTACAAAATCTGGTACTTTCATACATTTACTTTAGGATGGGATTGACATGAAAACTTTTACTGCTACTTTTGAATCTCTGAACGCATGAACGTGTTATGATCCGTGTGCAGTCCCACCTCTTGTCCCCCAGGGGGCTGATGGGGCTGCACGGTGCTATTTGGACCAG